TATATATATATATATATACACACACACACACACACACACACACACACACACACACACACACACACACACACACACACACACACACACCCAGGGCGCCACTGAGCAGTTTCTATTGAAGTCAGACAAGCCATCCTTGAATAGTGAAAAAAAAAAATGTTCTTCAGATCTATGATCTGTTTGATCATCATGGGTGAGAAGCACTAGGAGATGGATGAAAGGTTTGCACGACACTGACGCCAAGTTTGGGTTCCTTCTCAGTGTCGAGGGACTGTGTTACAGCACCGACAGTAATGACCTAAAGAAGTGTGAAAATTTGGGTGAATTGTATATCTCTGATGTTGATGGACCGCAGCTATATGATGAAATTTTGGATTGCAAAATGTTGCTATCAAGTCAGGTCAACATGAAAATATCAAGACCTGAAGAGCTTCTCGAATTTATTGTTCAGTATTGAGATGAGAGTATCTTCCCTAATCTTCTCATTGCTATTCAGATAATGCTAACCATTGCCAGCTGTGAGAGATAATTCAGCAAATTAAAACTAATACTTTTGTATTTGAGAGCCTCCATTGGTCAAGGCAGACTCTGTGATCTTGCTCTGCTTAGTGTAGAAAGAGAAGAAACTGAAAAAACTGACTTTGAGCACATCATAGATCAATTTGCATCAGTGAAAGCATTCTTGTGCAGTTGTAGTTTTCATGTAGTGCCATAATTTGTTAATTAAAATATTAACGAGCTGGACTTGTATTTTTGAGCAAATATTATGGTAAAGTTATTTAAAAGATGAGTGTCAGATGTTTGGACAGTGGCGCAATTTCAGTGCTTGCCATAGGCGCCATTTTCCGTAGATACGCCTCTGCTGTAGTGTGATAGTTGATGATTGGAGTGTGAAAGTGTAGAACAAACTTGAACATTTTCCAAATAAAAAAAAAACTACTTCTGTAGAGTTAGGGTGAAAAACATTACATGTTACATTAATGATATTTGAGTGATGTATGTTATAGCTTGCTTCAGAGTTGGTGGAAATACTAGAAACATGTGTTTTGGAAATTGTAAATTACATACACTTCGTGTGACTGAGTGGTAAGCTTGAGGGCTTAGTCCTAAAATTTAGGGCTCAATCCCTTTGTGTAGCTTTATGCTTGAAAAAAGTTAAGTATGAAAGAAATATTTGAGGTGTGGTTAAATATTATATATTATATATATATATAGAGATATTGGTGACTTCAGAAGGATGTGTATCTGAAGTAATTCTAATTTCAAATGATTTGTTTTAAAGCTATAAAACAAATTGGATTTATTAATGTTTATCAGATATAATGAACAATCAATATTTTTAATATATGGGAAAATCTAAAATGGTTCTTACATAGTCTCATCAGTTTTCTTTATCGGTTCAATTAATGCAATTTATGCACACAATGTATTTGTAATTGTGCATGAATGATTATAATTTTTAATTTTCTTATCCAGCCTTTAAAAGTCAAGAATATAGATAAAAATATTCTAAATGATATTAGTGAATAAAGTATATATATATATATATATATGTACAATGATAATTTAATT